GTACAGTTTACCACTGACTGCAGTTTTCCATTCAAAGCTGGCATTTGCGTTGACGCACCAGGTCTGGTGTCTGGTGCGTCCCATAAAGTAAATTTTCGCCGTTTTCACGGGCGCCGTGAACAAACACCCGTCCCATGGAGTAAATGTTCGCCGTTTCCAGTCAACACAATCCTCACTGTGGCAACAGGGCGGCTAGCTTCTGTCGAACTGCTGAGTCACCAGCATCCCCACACCCCCCGAGTGGCCCCGGGCGCCCGTCGCTGGCCCGCCGGGTCAGAGCAGAGCCCGCCTGCGCCGATTGTCGCCGCGGCCGGCACGTGGCCTGCCGCGGGGCCGTCCCGTCAGCGACAGCCGGCCGACGGCGCGTGTGGCCGTACCGTCGCCCGCACGTGCGGAAGCGCAGGCACGGGAGCACACCACGACCGCAGACGTCCCGCGTCCGGACGCCGTCACTGGAGACTCGCCGACCCGCGGCCCGCCTCCCACCACACGGCTCAGCAGTGCGAGCCTGGAACAATCCGCGAAACCCCACCGGATGGGAGCAGGCGGGGAGGCGGGAGCGGGAGGTGGGAATGGGAGGTGCTCCTGGCCCAGCGCGGGACGTCGCCGCCGCGCAGCCCGGCGGCGCGGCGCCGGCCGACTCACCGGCGTGCTCGGCGGCGTGCTCCGGGGCGGCCATCCCGTGGCGACGGCGGGCTAGCTCTGCGCGGCGGCGCGCTCGGCTCGGCCGGCCGCCGTCGCCGGCCGGCCGTATTGAGCGCGCCCGCCGCGCACGCGCGGCCGCCACCGCACGCGGCCGCGCACACGCGTGCGCCCGCGCCGGCTCTCGCGGGCCGCCACGCCGCTGGGCGCAGCGGTGGGTCACGGCCGCTGGCGTGCCGCCGGTGACCCGACCTCAGACGTGACCTGTTTGAGGTCGGGTCATGCGTCTGAGGTCGAGTCACCAGCCGCCTGGCCAGCAGCCACGGCATCGTCGGGAATGAACCGAGTTTTTGTGACGCGGCACTACCGCGGAGCTTCATGCAGTTCATTGAGATGGCGATGGGGGGGGGGATAAACTGGCAGATAACTTTAACGGGAAACATGGGAGTGTAAGAGGAGCTGACGTACGCCAAATGCCGTTGAATGTATCTATTGCCTCCTGGGCGAAGGCAGGGAAATCACCTTCAATGACTTGCGTATGTTTGCCTGGACTATGCTTGCAATGCGCTGTTAGCGGCTTCACGAGTTTTTGGTAGTTCGCGCCTCGCAGTGTGGAGTCAAGACAACCAACGACGCTCCAGGACGTTATTGACGCATCGACGGTTTGCAGAGGATGCAGACCTCCAGCTGAACACGAACGAACTAAGAAAGTACGAGCCATGAACCCTCGAAAAGTGCTACAAATCCAAACCACAGCGCCGTGACCCAAAAGCTATAATCGCAAGGTGGTCTTCAAAGGGATGATGTTTTCACCGTTTCCACCGCCAACACATTTCACAGTAATTGAGGAAATAGAGCGGCATTACCGCCCTTCGAATGCGCCTGGCTTGCACACAGCGAGTTGCCCGGTTGAGATTTACGCTCGCTTTGTACCGCTAGCGACAGTATAAAACTGCAGCAAACTCTCCAAGTTGACCATTTGGCAGCGTTCTTCACGTCGCTACGACACAACGACGTCACCTGGCCTTTGGCCGCAACGACCGCGCGACGCGAGAGTGTGGCGAACGCTGCCAAACGGCGCACGCCCGCGACGCAGTGAAATGCAGCCGAGCGCGATCTCGTCTGAGGTGAACTGGGGACATTACGTCATCCAACCATACGGCCCGAAACTGGCGGACAGTTTCGACGGGAAAGATAGAAATGCAAGCGGAGCATACGCACGCTCAGCGCCGCTAAATGCCTATTCCATCGCCAGGCTGGTCACTACGTTGAATGTTGTGGAGGTGATCCATACATGAGGCCAGTCTAACGCATTTTACCAATTTCCACAAGCCTGACGTTGTACGGCAAGTGAAAAGTATAATGCAACGAAAATAATTGACCCTCGAGACAATCATCACTTGCCCATGGCTGTCATTTTTTTATGCTGTCTCCGTCCGAGATGGCACCATCTGGTGCGATTATTTCTACACCCGAAATCAGATCCTGTGAACTTCATCAACTATTTCGGGTGCGTTTCGGCTCGATATGCCAAACAACGCGCAATATTGGTACACAATGGGCTTTTAGGAACCGCGGTCGGCCGAAATGCTACACGTAATGAACGCGTCTTCAACATTTTGGATTTGTTGTTCCAATTTATTTCGAACACTGTCTTAGATCAGGCTCGGAAACCAAACAAATTGGTTGCCAAAATGTGCCGAGTGTAAAAACAGCGCAAGTTTTCCACCTGAGCCCAGTGAGAAATCATGTGACCTTCCTATCAGCACCACCAACTTCAACCGAAGCCTGACGTTTCTGTTCCAGCCAAACGCGCCGTTTCTTTACACTGAAGCGGGCTGCAGTTTGCATATCGCCGGCTCAGACAAAGATAACGCGCGATGCCGGATGCCGTTGACGTGAACATTACAACACGCCCCGATTATCGGAGATTACTCCTGTAACTTGTTGGGCTTCCAGCTTCCCCGTCGTACGCTTTGCAAAATTCCCACTTGTGCCATGGATTCTGACGGATCTTCCCATCGATCTAAATGGCGTTTCCAGAACGACCACCTAATTACGTAGCACTCGTTCCCAGCGCATCGCGGGAGCCTCAGCTCAAAGCTCAAGATTGCTTGGAAGTTATCCATACCCCGCCACACTCTGCTGCATATCAGACGAGGATTCAGTATCGGCATGATATCAATGGGAGGAGCGTCGGACTGCGGTGCACACACTGGCAAAAGGTACCCAACACCAGATAGACATCCCCGCGGGAACACGTCATGGGTGGAGGGTAAGGGAGGCACCCAGAAGATAAGCATCCAAGGGATCCAGCGGGGTCCTTTCTCCCAAGCCAAACACGGAACTCCCCTGTTGTTCCGAGCCTGGGGTCATCCGCGGGATATTTGAGAAAAAACCTCAAGTGCGTTAGCGGTCTATGTACCAGACACCAGGGACAGCTGAGCAAAACAGTTCGTAGTTCGCGCGCTGTCACCTACCGTAATCATATTTTCAGATATCTTGCATCGCTTTTGCAAGTCTGCAGTTCAACACATAGCTTTCATGCGCCCATTTCTTTACGGTAAATGTTAGGTAAGTGATGATAGTAAACAGGTGCATGCACGGTATAGGCACATAGGCGAAGGCAGCACACTCAGGCAAAAACTAATGCTTCGTCACTGACTCCTAACGCACTGGAAAATGCACGAGCTTCCGGAAGTATACGGCAGTTGGACTGTTTCCAATTTAACTGTCGGACCGCCAGGTCAGAAAAAGGCCTACAGTGCACACGGCACCACAGCCATAGCCGTTTCCTGACATGCAAAACGCCTCCACAACGCATACAATATTGATGGCTTGAGCGTGACAGCCATCCAGCTTGATAACGAGTTCGACACACCGGGTCTGCGCCACACGCATGCATTTTCCGCTCGTGTCCGGTGCTTTCAGCCGGCGGCAGCAATGCACCGACAGAACTGAAGCTTAAAAGTAAACTTGCTTTGACGGAACTGTGGCAGTAGTCCGGAGCTTAACAGTAGTCCAGAGCAGGTACTCAGACGTAAAATTGCGTTGTGTAAACCGGACGCCGGAGACGTATGGCTTCCGCCATTATCTTTAGCGTAACATTCGGAAGTCCAGCCCCCACCCATTTCTGTGCCCGATCTCCACCGTGACAGAGGTCTTTAAATTTAAAATATTCTCAACTATAACACTAATATCAACCGGTATACTTTACATCACGCTAACTGAGCGTCTGCGGTGTAACTATATGGTAATGAAGGAAATATCCACCTACCCAGCCCCTCCAGACTTCATTGCTCGCACGGCCGATATTTAACACCGATTTTATGTCCATGACTACTTGTCTCCACGCCTGTGTCAAATGACGTTTCGATTACGACTCTCGGTAGATAGGATAACTTTGGGCGAAGGCGAAGGCACGGCGAGCCTTGTACGGACGGTGACAAGAAACAAACTAAAGAAGCCAGGTTCGGCCCGGCAGCTACACATTCTTGCATCTGATATTTTCGCGATCACAACCACCAAATGCATGCAATTTTCAGCGAGAATGGAAAACCTTTGAGAATTGTTGAGTCTATTTGCATGGCATTTGCCTGACGGATGTTTGACCATGCGAAAATTCCCTGGAAATTAGCCGATCTAAACTAAGTATAACCCTCTGCATGCAAACAACATGAGACACGTAAAGATCGCTCCGCAACCAACTGAGCCAGCCCAAGGACGCTACAGCCTTTCCCGCTACGAGGGGCAGTCTCAATCCTCCAGCAAGCGTCTATCCACACATCGTCGGCAGCGCTTCACAAGCCACCACTAAATGCCCATCTCAGCGGCGCTCCGCCCTCCCAGCGCGCCAGCTCAGAGGCGTGGGTGTCGCTCGTGCGCGACAAACGCAGCTTGCAGACAGCTTCCATGCGACAGGCGGTGCCCGCTTGCCGTGTCGGCCACGGCGCGACGTGACCACCACCGCCGGCGGCGCCGGGTGAGCTCACGGCGCAAGCGGCCGGGACGTCGTCGTCCGGCCGCGTGGCCCGCCTGCCGCGCCGGCTCGGCTTGCGCCAGAGCCCGGACGCCGCCGGGGACCGATACGGGGGGGGGGGGGGGATCGCCCGGCTGGCGAGTTGGTCCACCGTCGACGAGACGCAGCCGTCCCCTTGCAGTCGTCACGCGTCACCCCGTTACCGGGACTTCTGTCACGGCTCTGTGCCTCGTCTAACGGCAGCGGGGTAACGGAACGGCCCCAGGTCTGACCGGGTGCGAATTTGCACGATCTGTCCTGGTTCATGACTCGACGGCAGCTCGCACCCGTCCATCCAGTTCTGCGCATGTGTCCACACCAGTGCTCACAAACAGACGAGGTCATGTATGTATTTCAAAACTTTGCTTTAATAGTAATATGCGTAAAGGGTAACTAACATACACCAACAAGGTATAAAGACAGTGACGCGACGTTTAAGTAATGATGCGAGTATGTATGGCCAATCACGTACAGGGACAGGAAAACGCGCTCGGTTAGCTCAGCAACGCGCCGGCGAACGCGGACGGGAGCGAGAGACGGACCGGGAGGAGCCGTGAGGGCACTTGAAGTCCCACCCAAGCCAAGCCATCCTCCACTGGAGACAAGCGACCAGCCCCTCAACCGATGCGGCAAGCGTAGCCTGAGTGAGGCGCGGGCCATTGAGGTCAGGTACGACACGGGGCGCCGCACCACCCGCCCCGTGCGCCGGCGCCTCACGCGCCCGCCGGCCCCGGCGCTGGCCGCTGGCGACGGACCAGCGGCCAGCTGCCGCAGCCAAACCACAGCCGAAGTTCTGCGGTGCCGCGCGCGATGAGTGCGGGGGCAGCAAGCCACTGACTTTCAGGGACTCGCCACTCTTTAATGGCCAAAAACTCGCCACGTGACGCAGAACTGACTCGCTTACGGCCCCCACGCTCACACTGCGGTGCTGACCAGCGGTACGAACCGCCGTTTGGCTGCGAGCAGCCGGCCGCGCGGGGCCGGCGGCGGGAGGGCGGGGGGCCGCGGGCCCCAGGTCGGCCCGCAGCCCGACAGGACGGACCGGCCGGCGACAGGCCGACAGAGAAGGACGGGAGGGGAGGGCCGCGCGCCGGCGACCCCCGGAATGTTCAGCCCCCAGAGAAACACGCCACCATCGCTCGCCGAGGGACTAGGCACAATCACATGAAGATAAAACTGGAATGACGCCACGTTCTCACACCGGTTCTGTACACGCCTGGTGAACGGAGACGAGGTGCGCCACTTCCGACCTGGCGCAGCTCCACCCGCGCCGCAGTGCAGCCTATCCCGCTAGTAGACCCCAGCGCACACCCGGCACGCACAGCGCCTGGCGACCGTCGCCGGCGCGCCCACCGCGCCAGCCCTGCGAGCGCTAATGATGCTGGAGACGCCGGCCGGTCAACAGCTGCAGAGCCGACAAACGAGGCTCCACAGCAGCCCGGGACCGCGACCGTACATCGCGGCGACGAGTCCGCGGAGCGAGCCCATGCCTCGTCGATCACAGCAGCCCTCAAACTGAGGAGCGGGCGGGGCGCTCCCGAGCGCAGCCAGGCACCACCTCCCCAGGAAATGATTTCGTACTCGCTGGCACGTGCGAGCCCCCGTGTGCGCGTAATGCGTCAGTCTTTGTGCGCATTTGCCCATATGAACGCCCGCAAAGTCAGCCGCGCTGCTAACTACGCATCGAATGTACTTCGCCATGCCCTCGGGACAATCTGGCCGCCAACTGCAGCCTCTGCACTCATAACCATTGGTTCGTCCCTCGTGCAGACCCACCTCCACGCACCTACGCCCAGGGGCGGCGTTCGTCGCTGCCGGCACGCGCGGGCCAGGACCCCGCATCGCCGACGGCCGGCGACGGGCCGATGCGGGGCGGCCTCCGCCACGGGTGCGTCTCTGACTGGGGCGTGCTGCGAGGACGGTGACTAGGACAACACACTGCGCGGCCGGGGCCGGCGCCGGCGCGCAGGAGGCCGCTCCGGCCGCCGCGCCACCTCTGCACCCTCTGGGCGCCGGTCGGGGCGATGCCACGCTCACACTGAACACAGAGGGCGAACGGGGCGGCCACCAGGGGTCGCCGGCGGGACCCACACCCGGGCACTCGCTGGCGGTGCGAGACGCGCCCGACCGGAACTGGCCCGGTGGCTGGCAGCGCACGGCACGGCGGGAGGTACGCGGGCCAGCTCCGAGCGGAGCCGACTCTGCTGGGCCGCCTCGTTGCATCGGGAGGCATTGTGTTGGGCGCGGCGGCGGCGCGGGGCCGCCGCTCGCGGCGACCGGTGATTATCTCGGCACAGCAGCCGACCTCACGCGAGGCTGGCATCGGAGAGGGCACTTGGCGGGCGCGGCGACGACGGCGGAGCCCGACACCACTACACGCACCCGCGCCGCCCGCGCCGGCTCGCGACGCCGCCCGCAGTCCGGCGCCGGCCGCGCGCGCACGAGCGCGAGCGGATCACATCAGGAGGTGGGGTGCGAGCGGCGCGGCTCAGCGGCGCAGCCGCTCACCCGTGGGAAAGGCACACCGGATCTCACGGACACACACAGACAAGGCATCGAGAGTAGGCAGGCGTGCTCGGTTGCGATAGTGGGGTGCGTCAGCGGCAGCGGCGGCGGAGGCGGCGGTGGCTACGCGTCCGCGTCCGCCTCCGACACGGGCGGAAGCGTGATGTCAACGGAGCGCTTCTGCTCCAGGTACAGCTCGTAAGCGGAGGGCGCCGAGTTGCTGCGGCCGGCGCGGTGGTACTCGCCACGCTCGCCGGCGCCGGCACCGCCGCCGCCGCCGGCGCCGCCGCCCTTGTACGGGTGCACGAAGCTCTTCTGCTTGACCATGGCCTTGACGAGGATGATGGTGTTGATGCTGGGCAGGCGACGCGCACACTGCTGCACCTCTTCGTCGGTGACCTCAACGGCCGTGCGGCAGTTGTCGGCCTCCTCGGGCAGCGGCGCCCGACCGCCGGCGGTCACCCACGCGTGCTGCTTGATCTCCGGCAGCGTGACGCGCCGCTCCGGCTCTTTGTCCAGCATCAGCCGCACCAGGTCCTGCAGCGCCTCGGACACGGACGGTACCGCCGGGAACGCCACCTCCTGGCTCTGGATCTTCGAGTACAGGCCCAGGATATTCTCGTCGTGGAACGGCAGGCGGCCATACACGAAGGAGAAAAGTGTGACACCCATCGCCCAGATGTCGGCGGCGCGGCCGCTGTACCGGTCGCGCTGCGCCTTCAGCGCCTCCGGCGGCAGGAAGGCCGGCGTGCCCGACGTGCCCGTGAGAAAGGCGTCCGGCCCAGTGAACTCGTTGCAGACGCCAAAGTCGGCGATCTTGACGCGGCCGTCGTCGCCGAGCAGCAGGTTGGACGGCTTAATGTCTCGGTGAATGATCTTCTGGTAGTGCAGGAACTCGATGCCCATGACCATGTCGCGGAAGTAGCGCCACGCCTGCTCCTCCAGCAGCGGCGCGTCCGTGGGGATCGTGATCACCTCGCCCTTCTCCAGCAGCTCGAACACCAGGTACAGGTTGTCCTCCACCGGATCGTCCAGCACCTCCACCAGCTTCACCACGTTCGGGTGGTCGAGCTTCTTGAGGATGGCGATCTCGCGGTAGACGCGGTCGAGCGGGCTGGCCAGTGGACTACCGCCCGAGTTCTTCCGGTGCGGCGCCAGCCGGCCGCGAACGAACATGCCGCCCTTGCGCATGATCTTCTTCTTGTTGAGGATCTTCATGGCGTACGTGGTGTCGTCGTCCTGGTTGTAGGCCAGCTTGACGATGCCGTACGAGCCCTGGCCTATGGCCTCCTGCAGCTTGTACTGGTTCAGCTGCACGTAGTCGCCGTTGTGCTCCACGCTAACCACGCGGTGCACCTCCCGTAACGGCCGCTTCTTGAAGCGCGGACTGCAGCAGGGCGAGCCGTACGGCGAGAACGGGATGTTGGGGTAGATGGGCCGCTCCCCGAGCCCACCCGTGCTGTGCGCGGTTAACAGGGGTGGCTGCGCCTGCCAGGGG